CCAGAGCCCTGGCTGGCGAGCGGGGCTCGCTTCTGCCGCCGCCGCCGAGCAGCAGGTCTGAGGCGGCCGCGGCTTGAGAAGACGCCGCCGGGGGCCGGTGTCCTTGGGGAGAGCCGTGCAGTGGTGCGCACACTGTATCGCAGGTGCTTGGTGCTGTGATAGCAGCGGGCGCGGAGCTAGCTGGCAGCACCTTCCTAAGATTTGCCTCTCCAAGGTGCAAGTGCTTTGTACAGGCAGAGCAGAGCTTGCGATTCCATGTGCTAATGAGCTGTGGAACCACGGCGTTGTTTGGATTTAAAGGACCTTAAAGGTCACCTAGTTACAGCACCCCCCCGCCGTGGGCACGGACACCTTCATCAGTATAGGTTGCTCAAAGCCCCGTCCAACTTGGCCTTAGACAATTCCAGGGATGGGACAGCCACAGATGCTCTGGGCAACTTGTGCCAGTACTTCACCACCCTCAAAGTAAAGAATTTCTTCCTAATCTTTCTGATCCAAACCTGCCTTCTTTAGGTTGTAAGGTCTCCTCAGAGCCTTCTTCAGGCTGAGCAACCCCAGCTCTCTCAGCCTGTCCTCACAGGAGAGGTGCTTCAGCCCTCTGATCATCCTAATGGCCTGCTCTGGACTCAGTCCAGCACGTCCAAGTTTTATTTGCTTTGGGGACCCCAGAGCTGGCCACAGCACTCTGGATGGGTTCTCACCAGAGCGGATTGCATTGTGGCTGTATTCACGCAATGGCAGTGGCTGTTTCTGCACACACACACAGATGAGAATAGGAAGACAAAGCCTGTACCTGCTCCGGACATCAGGGTGCAGGACTACTTTTTGAAGTAAAATTCGTGGGGTAAACTTAGAACTTCAAGAAGTAGTAAGTGTATCAGAGTAGTGGTGCAGAGGGGAGCTGTTGAGAGTGGTTCTTAGATACATTGTACATTCCAGTTTATTATTAATGGTAATCTGTGTCTGTTTCTCTCACTACCTGATCTCCTCCTAGGTAGTCAAGCCACATACCCCATTGATAAAGTTCCCAGACAGAAAAAGTGGTCCCAGACCTAAAAGTAAGTATTTTGGGTATGGATACAGCTTGTGCCACATTTCTTTACATGAACTGTTTATTTAAGAACCAGGACCCAATTTCTCACTTTCAGCTATACAACTGGACCGAGTTGGAGTGGGGTTTTTGAAACATGCTTGATTTAGTTTAAAGGCAATTCTTGAACTTTGTTCACAACTTCTTCTTTGTACAACTGTGTAGACACATAATGCATGTATGTCTGTATTTTTTTCTCAAGAAAGACTCACAAAGATTTCAAAGCAAAGTGTTTGTTTTCTACTTTATATAAAGTCACATTTTCCCAAATACTAATATTTACTGAAATGACAGTGCCCAAATCAGTTTGAAGCAGCTTCTGCTATTCAGTGATATTTGCATAAATGATGTTGCATTTTCCTAATTTTTTTCTTGGTTGAAGCATGTGATGTATTTTCTGCTGTATTTTCAAAACATGATTATAGCTGGGAGATCTAGCCCTCTGTACATTTTAAGAAGTATTTTCTTGTGTTATTAATTAATGCTGAGGAAAAAAATATTTCATTGCAATCTTTGATATTAGCTTTTATAACTATGTTGATATTTATGGTATTCCCAATAATATTATATTTAAACAACAAATTTATATTAGCAATATGTTGGTTTAGAAGTCCATTTGGGTCAAAAAGCATCTGAAAGAAAGATAGGAGTTGTCTTTAAAATCTCTGTTGTGTTATTCTCACTTCTTTTGAAATTATTCTGTGCCTAGTTATTTGCCACAGGATTATCAAGCCTGCAGGTTAGCTTTAAGTTTAGTTTAACATTTGAAAGCCTCCACAGTGCATATAAACTCCTCTTCTGACTTACCTGTGAACTCTTCATGAACTATTTTCTGCATTAACTTCCTGTCAAAATTCTGTACATTTTGCACAGTTCAGCCAAATCCACCACCTCTCGTGCCAGTGAACTACTTTCTCAAAAAAAATGTGTTGAAAATGTGTTTCTGACCTCTTGTTTATATCAGAAGATTCTTGTGACTATATCTTTTAAATACATTAGACTTTTCTACCTTCATCAGGATCAGCCATCTTGTTAGTAAACTGCAACCCACTTTGTCTTGGTTGAATGCTGTAGCAAAAACTGCATTTAACTGTACCAGACTGTTGCTCCTACATAGCTAAATGGCTAATTAGAGCAACTAAGGATGTGAAAGGCCAGTCATATTCTATTGGGCCTATTACTACTACAACATTATGGTCTCAAATATGGAAGGGAAAGATGTAGAGGAGACTGTAATAGAACTAAAGCAGCAGCAGTAAAATTTCTGATTACTGCACATCTTATGTTTTTAATTGGCTAATGATTCTACTCCAACTACACTTCTGACTGAAACATACAGTAGAAGAAAATCCTTGACAAATTTCTAGACTTTTTTATGGTGGATGAAACAAACTTGGAGAAACTGTTGGGTTTTTTTCATTGTTTTTTGGTTTTGGTTTTGTTAGTTTTGTTGTTTTGTTTGGGGTTTTTTTTGTATGTAAGATGTATTATTTCTTGAAACAAAAATAGTTTGCCCCCTGTTCACAATATGTTGCTTCTGATGGGCTCACTTCTGCCTTGCTCTGTTTCGGATCTTCTGTTTTTTCTGAAACACTTGGGGATTTTCAGACCCAGTCTTATGACTGACAACTTCTGAATATGTCTTTCAATGGTGACTTGGTCACAGTGCTGCAGGTGTTTGATTGTTTGTCCCAGTCCTGCAACTACATCAAACTCATTAAGGGAAAAACTGGCTTCCTCTCCTTTGTGGTCCTTGCTCTTGCTGGAGCCAGGAAGGACAAAGGCAGGCAAAACTGTGGTGCTGTAGCTGCTTACCTTCTTTCATGCAGTTTTCATGTTGCTTCTTTTATAGTTATATAGAGCCTCTCTCCAGCTGTTAGATGTTGCACTTGTCTTGCTCATTTTTCTGGAACACTGGGAAGGACTTCTGTGGAAGCATTCTGCTTTGTCAGGTGTTTTACCCTTATATAACACAGAATCACTAGGTTGAAGAGACCTTCAAGATCACTGAGTCAAACCCATGCCCTAACACCTTAACTAAACCATGGCAACGAGAGCCACATCCAATCGTTTTTTAAACACATCTAGGGATGGTGACTCCACCACCCCCCAGGCAGACAATTCCAGTACTTCACCACTCTTTCCATATAAAACTTATTCCTAGTATCTGACCTGTATTTCCCTTGGTGCAGCTTAAGACTGTCCTCTCATTCTGTCAGTTGCTGCCTGGTGAAAGAGACACCCTCACCTGACTACAACCACCTTTCAGGAAGTTGTAGGGAGTGATACTAGATAGACCCCTCCTCCGAGTCTACTTTTCTCCAGGCTAAACAGCCCCAGCTCCCTCAGCCATTCCTCACAGGAATGTTTGTGTTCCAATCCCCTCACCAGCCTCGTTGCCTCCTCTGAACGTGCTCAAGCATCTCAATGTCCTTCCTGAACTGAGGGCCCAGAACTGGACACAGAACTCCAGGTGTGACCTCACCAGCGCCGAGTACAGGGGTAGAATGACCCCCCTGCCCCTGCTGGCCACACTATTCCAGGAGTCATTTGGCTTCTTGGCCACCTGGGCACACTGCTGGCTCATGTTCAGCCACTGTCACCAGTACCCTCAGGTCCCTTTCTGCCTGGGCACTGTCCAGCCACTCTGTCCCCAGCTTATAACATTGAAGGGGTTTTTTGAGCCCAAAACTCAGGACTCAGCACTTGGACTTATTAAACTTCATCCCACTGGACTCTGCCCATCCTTCCAACCATTCCAGGTCTCTCTGCAAAGCCCTTCTCCCTTCCAACAGATCAACACACACTCCCAGCTTAATGTCATCTGCAAATTTGCTAATGAAGGACTCAATAGCCTCATCCATGTCATCTATAAAAATATTGAACAGGACTGGCCCCAGCACAGACCCCTGAGGGACACCACTGGTGACTGGACACCAGCTGGGTGCAGCAGTGTTCACCACCACTCCCTGGGCCATCCAGCCAGTTCCTAACCCAGCACAGAGTGCTCCTGTCCAAGCTGTGGGCTGCCAGCTGTTCCAGGAGTGTGCTGTGGGAGACAGTGTCAAAGGCCTTGCTGAAGTCCAAATGGACACATCCACAGCCTTTCCTGCATCCACCAGGTGGGTCACCTGGTCATAGACAGAGATCAGGTTGGTCAGACATGACCTGTCCCTCCTAAACCCATGCTGGCTGGGTCTGATCCCCTGGCCATCCTGTAAGTGCTGCACAATGACACTCAGTATAAACTGTTCCATCACCTTACTGGGTACTGAGGTCAGGCTCTCTGGCCTATAATTACCAGGATCCTCCTTCCCACTCTTTTTGTGAATGAGCATCACATTGGCCAGCTTCCAGTCATCTGGAACCTCACCAGTGAGCCAGGACTGTTGGTAAATGATGGAGAGTGGCTTCACGAGCTCATCTG